CCAGAAATGTGCTCATCCAGCCACACCTACCTTTTGCTTCTTATTCTGTTTACCTTGTTTGTTGTCAAAACCCAGGGCCTTTTTTTGTAGCAGGAACTCCTTTGCATGTTAGGCCACACACCCCTAATGTAGCCAATCCTAATGAGTTTCTGCTGTTGGGTGTGGTCTATTATGCTATTGAGTTCCTGCTGGGCGTGGCCAACTCAGGAGACCGCCGGAACTCCATTCCTGTGCGTTCCTGCCCCCAAATAGCCCTGGCTATATTCAAAATCCATATTGAATAGCATGGGAGTGAATCAGTAGGATCACAAACTCAACAAGCTGAAAAGAACAACAGAAGACCTCTAGCCCCTCATTGCTTGTTAGCCTTCCACACATTATGTGAGTTTGCAGTCAAATGTACACTTGGCAGGAAGCTGCCTCTCTCATGAATATATATTTATTTTAGAAAATTTAAACATTTAGAAATGTAAGATACCTCTGTACTCTATGGGCATGCTTCGCTCATTCACACAGTACATGTTAAAGTACTTCTTCACCCCAAAATGACTTCTTCACCCAAAGAGTAATTAACATGTGGAATTCACTGTCACAGGAAGTGGCAGCAGCTACAAGCATAGACAGTTTCAAGAGGGTATTAGCCACAAGGTATAGATGGAACACTATGTCTGGGGCAGGGATACTCTGTATTCTTGGTGCTTGGGGGGGGGGGCAACAGTGGGAGGCTTCTGGAGTTCTAGTCCTGCTGGTGAACCTCCTGATGGCCCCTGGTTTTTGGCCACTGTGTGACACAGAGTTTTGAACTGGATGAGCCATTGGCCTGATCCAACATGGCTTCTCGTATGTTCTTATGTGCTTTTATAACTGAATGCCTTGTTATCCCAATGCTGCAAGCCACACTTCATTTGATTCATAGTCTGGACTTTGAGGAAGCCCTGTCCATTATTCAACATGCTTATATTTATTTATTATTTACTTCATATATACCTCACCTTTCTCCCCAGTGGGAGAAAGAAGCTCACATTGTTCTCCTCTCCATTTTATCCTCAACCCTGTGAGGTAGGGTAGGCAGAGAGAGAGAGAGAGAGAGAGAGAGAGAGACTGATGCAAGGTCACCCAGTGAGCTTCCATGACAGAGTGGAGGTCTCCCACATCCTAGTCAGACCTTCTGACCCCTGTACAACATGATCTCTCTTATAGTCCAGCTTTCTGTTAACCAGTCAAGATCAAGCAGGTCCCAAGCTGGCATACAACAAAAAGTTCATAAAATTGTGAGGATTAAATGGGGGAGAGGAGGACAATGTAAGCTGCTTTGGATCCCCGTTAGGAGAAAGGTGGGGTATAAATGAAATAAATAAATGACAGCACGTTGAACTTGAATTACAAGAAGAAGAAGAAGAAGAAGAAGAAGAAGAAGAAGAAGAAGAAGAAGAAGAAGAAGAAGAAGAAGAAGAAGAAGAAGAAGAAGAAGAAGAAGAAGAAGAAGAGATTGGATTTATACCCCGCCCTTCACTTGGAGTCTCAGAGACGCTTACAAACTCCTTTCCCTTCCCCTCCCCACAACAGACACCCTGTGAGGTGGGTGGGGCTGAGAGAACTCTGACACAAACTGCTCTTTTTCAAGGACAGCTGTGCCTGAGCTTGTGACTGACCCAAGGTCACATCAGCAGGTGCAAGTGGAGGAGTGGGGAATCAAACCCGGTTCTCCCAGATCAGAGTCCACACACTTAACCACTACACCAAACTGGCTCTGAAACAATAGAACCAACATGAACAATAAAAGCAATCCATACAGCAAACAATGTGGTATACAGATGAAATAAAATCACTATGAACCTTCCTTCAAATGCTCTTCAGAGCTACAGGTTGGGTGCCTTCCTCGTGGCCTCAAGAAGACTACTCCACAGTATGAGCACAGTAGTGCTCATGCTGAGTAATGGTCAGTGGCAGTTTTCACATCAAGTTTTGGTAGACGGAAGAAACCAATGGTGCGACCAGAGGAGCTGCATGAGTTGATACTGAAAGAGACAGTCTGTTGAGTATGTGAATCCCAGGTTGTAAAGAACTTCAGAGGTAAATAATTAATGCTTTGAATTGAACCCAAAGGAAATAATAAATGCAACAATCTCAAAACAGGTGTAATATTCCTGCAGATAGTCATCAAGTTGTTGCATTCTGAACAATTTTTTAAAATGCTACAAACATTTTTAACGTTATTCCAAATCTGCACTTGAAATTGTAGGAGACATTCTAGACACTAGCCTATCAGTGCCCCTCAGCTTTTGATGAAAACTTGCAGAGCCATGTTTTCAGATACAGTGAGTGTGCTTCCAAACCATCCTTACTGATTTAACAGTTCAGTCTTGAACCGAGTTACACTCATCTAAACCCCTTCACTTCAATGGCTTTAGATACAGTGAGGGTGCTTCCAAACCATCCTTACTGATTTTACAGTGGCTTTACTCAATGGCTTTAGAAGGGTGTAACTCTTCTTAGGATTGCACTTCAGAATTCTTTGTCTTCCTTCTCAGAAAGGTGAGTGCTGTTGGTTCTCAATAGCTGGGCTCCTTCCCTCAGGCAATCCTGTGACAACCTGTCAGCTAAATGTATGCCTTTTTTCAGGCCATCAGCTGTGTTGATTCCACCTATGACACACACACACACTCTGTCCAAACTGACCTTAGAGCTGCACGTTATGCAATCTTGGTACATATGCAGATATTTCATTTCAACACATACCCATCAGCAAAGCATCCTCCAGTTGCGTGTTGAGCACCAATACAACGGAAATTACGCCACAAGTCAGAAATTTTGCCTCAACTTAAAAAAAAGTTTCCATAATTTCAGTTTTCTATGACTCCTGGTTACGTTTCCATAATTAACAACTAATTTCAGTGTCCTTGGAAGTACTCCATGTTCCAAGTAATCTGGTTGCTCTGCATATCATTGAGAGAGCTTAAGTCTGGAACCAGTGCATGAATTCTCTAAGCTGATTGACTGAGCTTAAATGTAATACCAGGACGCAGTTGTCAGTACCACATAGCTCCCCTACTTTAAAATCTCTTTCTGAAGTCCAGAGCTGTGTTTCCTCTTCCTTTTTTTAGTTCATTTTAATCATAAGGATTTCTGTGGTAGTGTAACTGAGATTAAAATTGTGTATTCTATTTTTTTAAAAACAGAAGTAGCTTTCAGACCTGGCATTGCCTGTCCTCCTGATCATACAACATTTGTTTGAAATACAGATCCCTTGAAAACTGTGGTACTAGTTTCCAAATAAATTCTGGATCCAAGTGAAAGAAAGGATGGGCATACATTTTCACTCAAGTTACACGTTGCTCCCTGGCACTTTACGCTCATGGATTCCAGACATTTTTAATCTATACAAGTAACAGATCTGGTGCTCCTCTCTTCCCCTTCCTGCACTGATAATCTACCTACAAATAACATGAGTACTCCGAAAACTTTTTTCCATGAGAGAATGTATTCAGCACTATAAACATACCAGAGAATATTTTGCTATAGACAATCACTGAATGATTCATACTGAGGATAAATAAAAAGGGGTTTAGTGTGTTTGTGTAGATAAGAAGCTGTGGTGCTCATAAGTGTGAAGCAGGCCTCATTAGATTGCCGGGAGAGGCAATAGCCTCGTTCTGTCCTTTCCTGGTGAGAATGGGACACAAACAATGTGCTGCTCCTCCCTTTTTTTTGTCACTTGTCTGTGCTTGGCTACCCATGAGGGTACTATTTCTTCAAAGCCTTTTATTGACCAGGGGTTTTCAGTCATGCTGTGGCATCATATAGACCCTATTCCTCACATTTTACTTTTATCTCCTTAGTTTTTGCTGTTTCATTATCAGGCACAGTACCAATCTTATTACCATATCATACTAATGGAGGTTTGAAGAGTTGTTTTACTTTGGAAAGTCACTGAGATGACGCTTGAAAGGACACTTGGACTAACACGCTGGGGCTTGATGTGTGAGAAAAAGTTGCGGACAGCTACTAGGAAGAGTACGTATCAGGCTCTTCCTCTCTATCAAAACTGTCCTGCTGTGGCCATGATGTGCTAAGTTTGTCTTCATAGGGGTGTCTTCCTAGGCTTTGGACAGCAGCACAATAGCATCTGAAATGCAGAGCATACCCTCTTGCCACATTCGAACCTCTTCTAGCTGTGCAAAGCAGGATGCTAGACTAGACACACCCCTGGTCCGATTCAGCACGACTCTTCTTATGTTCTAGCTGAATTGTCATGGCAGAGGTGGGGGAAAAAAGAAAACATTTTAAATCTAGATTTGGTATGTGAAGGGGACTTCATGTAATTTTCATATATGTGTCTGTGGAAAAAAATGTTAGGGGTTTGTTTACATTGAAATTTACTATTTAGGTGTTTCTGTGTAACTGTATTTGTCTGTCCACATACTCAGCAAATCTTGCAATTAGTTGTTATGGTCAAAATAGATGCCAGTGACTGCTCAAGTGCACAAAGCAGGCAAATGTCTCCTCCAGAGGATATTCAAAGGATGTGGAGATACAAAGAGGGGTAAAACTGTGAGTGACTCTGCGTGACAAGCAGGTTACCTTAATGACCCATATACAACCTTACAGAATATGGGGTTCTTCCCAAGTGATCAAGAAAATTTAGTTGGCAGTCTATGCAAGTGCAAAAGCAGCTGTGAGTTGTAATACAAATGTGTTACTTATTACCAAGGAACAATCTAGCCTTGTAACACAAGCTATACCCTTGTTTTCCTCAGGGGATTACTTGGTGGTCCCAAAGTTTAATGGACTTGAATGGACAGAATGAGATTAAAATGTGGAATTCACTGTCAGAGGATGTAGTGATGGCCACAGGAATAAGCAGCTTTAAATGGGGATTAGATAGTTTCATGGAGGATAGATCTATCAGTGGCTACTAGGGACTATTTTTGCAGCTCATTTTACTCGAAAGAAGACAACAAAACAACACTAGTGTACATTTCAAAGTCTTTATTGTGGTTGTAAGAGTACATTGTTCAGTCATGGCTAAAAACATTCTAATATTTCAGTAAAATTTGAAAACTAAGGGTATTCTGGAGATCTTTCATACCCTAGTGTTTGTTTTAATACACTTTATAAAATGAACCTATAAAATGCATGGCAGAAGCAACAGAGACTGAACAAACACATGGAACTTGACATGGCATTATATGACCAATGCAGAATACTTTACAAGCTGGCTTATGGCGCTGGTATTACCAATATTCAGTGCAGAGAAAATGAATACCTGGGCATGCTTTATCATCTGTAAGGATTTGGTAACAAATGCAGACCACACACGAGTGCACTATACTGTTAAGGGGGGAGGGGGAGTGCTGAGGGAGGAAAAACATGCTTAGTTATACAACAGGACATATGACTAAGGTGATTTGAAGGAACTTGGCTCTCAAGGTAAAGTGGGAACCATATGAGTCTGGCTGTTAGAACAACAGTGGGGCAATTGCTTAGAGAGGTCCTGAGACTGAAGAGAGAGGGTTCTTGCCACCAGCAAGTTTTCCAAAACCTGAAAAGGGCATTTGGGTGAAAGAATGGTACAAATTTTTGATTTCAACTGTAAGGGTGGGAGCTGTTCTAGAAAACAAGAAGCAGCTTGTGGATCAAGCCACACAGACCGCAGCCTACCAGCCATATATTGTAGCCTGTCAGATGCTTGATAAACTCCTGTTTTTGCATTCCTAGTCAGGCACCAGAGAACAGCTTGAAAGTGCTCTCTGGAGACTGCTCCCATAGGTGACTGATGGGTTACTTTGGATCACAGATTACACAAGCCAGTAATAACTCATCCTCCTGTGCTTTGAATCAGCCTTCAGCCCAGTATCCTCCATAGTTATGCAAAGGCAGTGATACTGTGTTGTTCCTACAGGGCACCTACTACCATGAAACCATGCATAGTTGCGCAATGGTAAGGGAATTACATTACAAGGTAGTGGTCAGACATTTCATGTGCTATATAAAACTCCTAAACGGTTTTTAAGATTCTGTTATTTTCACCACAGCAGGTAAAACTAGGTGGGGCTGCTACGTCTTACACCCTAGAATTAAGCGGAGAAACATCATTTTTTTTAATAAAGAGAACAAAAATCTCTGACACATATTCAGGGAAGTAAAATTCCTTAGCTAAGCCAACTCAGTTCATAGTGTACTATACTGTCTGAAAAATCCATCATATTTTTCAGATGGAGGGAACAGTTCCCATCCTGTATGTCTGTTTGAATCTTTTAAGTATGCATGTTATATGCTTTCCCTCACTGGCACCACAATGTAGTATCTCTTCATACTCTCAGAACCTGGGGAAGATCGGAGGGATTTTTCTACCGACACTGCTTGAGTGAATCTTGTTCGGAAGCCAGCATAACAATATGCCAGCTGGGGCTCTTAAAACATTATTCCATACGTTGTTTTTTTTTAAATGTGGTTTGCCATGTTATATTACAATCCTATGGGGACCACCATATTGTAATATAAATGCTACTTTTAAAACTAATTCCACGTTTTAATTTTGTGGGGAAAGAATTTTTTACAATCAAATTGCTCTTTTCATTAAAATCAGATTCACACAATTTTTTCCTCCCAAGTTTCCTATTTACTTTATGCCAGGTATGCACAAGCTTTCCTGTGTTGGGAATATTCTGCCACGGGTTATGTTCCAGGCCAGCCTAGTTTCAAATGTACAATGGTCCATAGTCTGAAAAGATGTCAAAGCACCCACAGGACTAGGATGTGGATAGTCAGAATGGGACGGAATCCTATGAAGATCACAGTGCCTAGATCTGTCATGAAGATAAATCAGAAATATTTGCCATCACATTTACTGACTGATAAGCCTTACGGATTTCAGTGTAACTGGCTTCAAAGTGGGGTTGCAGTATGCAATTTTTAAATATTAAATTAAGAGGCCAAACAGGCAAGTCTAAATGGAGTGCAGTACAGTGGATCCAAATTCAGATCCTCAGTTTTATTTTTTATCCTATAAATGCCCAGATTTGCTGATGCTAATGATGGTAATTGTATAATCTGTTATCTCCCTGCAAGAGATAATGGAAAGAGAATTACCAAGAGGCAAATGCTAATCATGTAATGCAATGTGATGTTCAAATCTTGCCCTTGATTTATGGCAAGGCTGTGTAAAAACCACAGAAACCCCTATTTTTAGCTTCATGATTTGTCCAGCTATATTTAGAGCTCACTGTTGAAAAGTTCAATGGCTACACAATTTGAATGATCAGCAAACTGTTTTGTAGTTAAACTGTAGACACTAGCTGCGGGCAACAGAAACACTGAATAGACATTCAAAAATTAACTTTTCAGATGTAGCAATGTAGCAATGCCTACCTTTTTTACAATATAAGTGCAAAAGTGTATTAACCAATGACAGCAGTAAGAAAGACTAATGATTCTCATGCAAAATCTCTTCCCAGTTTACGACGTCTGTAGCACATCTAAAAAACATCCACAAACATACCCCCCTCCCCTCCCACAATACCCCAAATAAATTTAGTTTCTTTTCAGGTTGTGTACATTCTGTTTACTGCTGCCAAATTGATGGCGTGCAAGTTCAATCAATTCAAGCCCACCAAACAGTTTGTGTTGTGCAACAAAAATGACAACCAGAACCACAAAATACCACCGTACAAAGCTGTACAAGTACAGCAGCACAAATGCAGCAAGTGTGAAGAGTGTCCAATACAGGAGTGAAATGAACTTAACCACCATGACCCTGAGCTCAGATTTACAGGGGGGGATTTTGCTTCTCCCTGTTACATCAAAGTATTTTTTGCCTTCATAGAACAAACGGAGCCTCTCTTCTTTCTCTTCCCACCGCTTCTGGCACCAGAGCTGCAATTCTTCCCGAGAGACTGGTAGTGCTTGCACCGGGTATCTGTGGACGTGAAAGTGAATTTCTTTGGGGAAGTTCCCGTAGAGAAGATGCCTCTCAGTTTGAGGTATGTTTTGAGGATACGCTACTGTTATGTCATGAATCGCATCAAGGTTATTACCTGGGAGAGAAAGATATAAGACTGTGAGCAGAGCAATGTCAGAATTCATGGAAGTGAACAAATGATACTATGGCATAAAATATATGAAACTCATCAGAAGATGCAATTCTTCTATTATCGAGTTCAAATAGGCCAAGATCACTGTAATATGATCATTTGTCATTTATTTTTTCAGATGAAATGAAAGTGTTTTTGAAAGTTATATAATTCAAATTTTAATAAATATTCAATATTAGATGGACAAACTATTTTTTCTCTAAAGCAATGCAAAAGGCATCCTGAGAAAAAGATGTAGGAAAATAAAGATATAATGACCATCCAGTGAATATTTAAAGTAAAAAGATAACTGGGAAGTTTCACAAGCTTAGATAAAGCAACTTAAACTCAGGGAGATGAGGGCAGTAAAATGACAGAAGAGCAGGGAGCTGCCTGCATTATACAGATTTGCTATTGACTGCAGCCAGACTTTGCCTCCCGTCCAGTCAAGATCTACATAAACCTTTGGAAAGGATGTCCACAGGGATGCTTGCCTCAGAGCTTGAAAACTGTGAAGCTAAGAGATATTTTAGACCAAGGGTGTCAAACATGCGGCCCGGGGGCCAGATCAAGCCCCCGGAGGGCTTCAATCAGTCCCACAGTGGAACTGACCATCTCCTGCTTCCAGTTCTGCTGCTGCTGCTGCATCATAGCTTGCTTCTCCAGACTCTAATAATCACTCAGCCATTTCATGTCCTAGACTCAGAACTCTGAACATGAGATTTCTGTGGTGAATGTCAATAAATCAAAAGTAGGTTTGCAGCTTACAGATACACACTTGAACAGCATACTCAAGATTGCAACAGCACAGACATTTTGATGCAATAATTCAGAGCAAGAGGTGTCAGTTATCAGAGACTGTTAGATAAACAAAATATTGCAAGAGTGCTAATGTTCTAAGCATGTTTTTATTTTAAGTAAAAACAATCCTTTATGTTTGTTTCCTTTATGAAGTTTATATCTCTGCTACCTGGCATTACATTTTATGACACACATGGCCCGGCCCAACGAGGTCTCATTTATGTCAGATCCGGCCCTCATAACAAATGAGTTCGACACCCCTGTTTTAGATGGTCACTCTTAATTAATTAATTAATTAATTTATTATTTCAATTTATATCCCACCCTTCCTACAAACAGGCTCAGGGCAGCTCACAACAATAAATACAAACAATCTAAATTAGCACTATAAAATAATAAAATAAGACCAGTTTAAAATATTTAAAATATTTAAAACAGGCAGTGCACTGCATGAATGGCGACACTCTGTCATTAGTATCCCACATGTATATTTTCCCTGCTGATTTTTCTGATGTGGTTGTCAATTTATGTCTGTACCCTGATCTTGTTTCCTGTATGGCTTTATTTCCTACTCTTCTATAGCCACTTACAATCTTTTCCTACTTCCTCTTTTTTTGGGATATTCTGAGAGACATTTATAGCATTTATAGAAATATTATACATAAATGTATACAAAGAATGAATTTAAAAGCAACATGACTTTAGCAATGACCAGGAGGATGGCATTCGAATACTTGTGCTGTATCTAGCATCAGGGGCAGGCACTAGCCTGGTGAGAAATGGTTCAGACAGATAACTCATAAAGGCTATACTAGACTTGACCTATATATATTTACTTGTATTTTATTATGGATTATTTCACATCGATGCTCAAACTTTGACTTGGGGAGAAATTAGCGATTAGAGTTGTTTGTCTTGCTTTTTAAAGCCATTTTGGGCTCTGATATTTTCTTATACGGAAGTATAAAAATGGCTTTTTTCACTGAGAAGAAGAGAAGAGATTGGATTTATACCACGCCCTTCACTACCCAAAGGAGCGGTTTACAATCCCTTCCCCTTCCCCTCCCCACAACAGACACTCTGTGAGGTAGGTGGGGCTGAGAGAGCTCTCTCGAGAACTGTCCTTGAGAGAACAGCTCTGACAGAACTTATGACTGACTCAAGGTCACATCAGCAGCTGCATGTAGAGGAGTGGGGAATCAAACCTAGTTCTCCCAGATTAGAGTTTGCACTCTTAACCACTACACCAAACTGGCTCTCGTAACAGCAGATGCAAGCCTGCCAACAAGCTATGCCCTCTGCCTAGAAGCATAGCCTCTAAATCTCAGACTGGAGAAGAGAGTGAAGTTGGTGAAGGGTGGGCCACCAACCTCCACAACATCACTTATTATCATTAAAGGAAGGGGGAAAGCATAACTTTCCCCCAAAGAGGTCCACATGAATTTATTGATATACAGTGTTCATGTCCTCAGTGAGAGAGCCGTACCTATAATCAGGAGCACATCTATCTGACTTCTGAAAATCGCATTGTTACAGAATGGTTGCTAACTCTGGATTCAACAATTCAGTGCTCAAGGGAGAATTTCTGTAGGTGAGACTGCAGATCCTAGAACAAATTTGGAGGCGAAAACGGGCCAGAGCCCAGTAATTTTGGGGGTGGGGGCGGCTCTAGACACAGATCAGCGCAAAAGTTGTCTATCTAAGGTGTATAGGTTTTTTTTAAAGAACTTTTTCTGGCAACCGCCCCTCCCCAGACCCTTTTTGTCCCGACTGTATCCTTTTTTGAGATCTTATAAAGTCAGCTTGCCTAATCTAACATAGGTGCTAAATTCATTGGATGTGACATTTAAGTTAAGCTCTGCCACCATGTTAATTTATTTTATGTATTTCTTGTTCTATTTTATTGCTTGACTGTGGAAAGCTGGCTGCCTCAGAGATTTAACTCAAAGGTTGTATTGGAATGTGGCATTTTAAGGCTGGCTATTTCATAAGGATTGTTGTTATTTTGCGTAAAAACATATATCCCTTCACAGTGGGGTATAAAACCATTCCCTACCTTTCTAGCAGTTTCCAAAGGTCTATTTCAAACACTCAATGATGAATTTTTTACTTTAGCATTCTTATCTCATGTATATTCTCTGACATACATCTACAATTGGATTTAAAACAATCCAAAGAAGTCTACCATTTATCTCAAGAATTTTCTCTGGCATACATTTACAATTGGATTTAAACAAAACAAACAAGTCTACCCTTTAATTACAACACCAATCAATTAAGCTTCCACCTGCATATGAAATAATCCTTAATAAAATACAAGTGTGTGTGTATTTGTTGCCTCATAAATAGTAAAAGCAATTAATGAATGTCTCCAAATTTACTTCTGCAAAATCATGTACCAGATCTGTTCCAGCCTTTAAAGATTATTATTAATATCTTGAACTGGTCCGTGTTGGCTCACAAAAGCTGCGCTTTATGCGGCCACAGAGATGCAACATATTCAACAGCATAAAGCTTTTCCAAGTACATCTCAAGTCAATACACAACACTTCAACAGTAGAGTTGTTGTTGTTCAGTCGCACAGCCGAGCGACTCTTCGCGACCCCATGGACCAGCTCCTTATACTGAAACAGGCCCTTGGCCCATCAATGTTAATATTATCTACTCAGGCTGCCGGCAGCTCTCCAGAGTCTCAGGCAGAGGTCTTTCACATCAACTACTGCCAGATCGTCTTTCAACTGGAGATGATGGGAACAGAACCAGGGACCCTCTGCATGCCAAACAGATGTCCATGAAGATGATGGAGGGGGTGGGAAATGTGATGTAGCCTTTACAGCACAATCTAATACATGATTAAAGTAAAGGTAAAGGTTCCCTTGCTCGAAAGCCAGTCGAATCCGACTCTAGGGTTGCGGTGCTCATCTCCGTTTCAAAGCCGAAGACCCAGCACTGTCTGAAGACATTTCTGTGGTCATGTGTCCGTCATGACTAAACACCAAGGCGCACGGAACGCTGTTACCTTCCCACCAAAGTGGTACCTATTTATCTACTTGCAATTTCTTGCTTTCAAACTGCTAGGTTGGCAGGAGCTGGAACTAGAGACGGGAGCTCACTCCGTCATGCGGCACTCTTGGGTCTCGAACTGCTGAGCTACTGACCTTCCACAGCCTGCAATTCAACATCTTAACCACTTGAGCCACCACAGCTCAATACATGATTACTTGTAAGTAAATCGTAATGTGTTCAATAGGGCTCGTTTGTCGGTACACAGAATTTCTCCCTTTTTCACTCTTATTGGACTACCTCTTGGTTAAAAAAACCTAATTCACTGTGTCTATGTGTTCAGTAGGAAATCACTCCCTATGGGTATATACTGACAACCATATGCAACATGGCTGCCTATAAACTACATACTCTGTTACTGCTGTTTCACATTTCTGACCTCTTTTAAGGAAAATTTTAAATTTTATCTTGCTTTGTGAATTTCCATGTTACTGCAATTGCCCTGAAGTAACTTGACAAGAGGATCCATGGAACAGTCTATGAACAAACTATATGACTGAGAATCCATTTCTTCAATACTTGTTCAGGGCACCATTAGAATTCTGGTAGCTAAAATTCCCCAGCATGATCATGCACAAGTACACTTAGATTGAAATCCAGTTCAATAGGGCTTACTCTGAAGTAGGGGTGTACAGGATTGCAGCCCTACATTTACACACTTAGAAGGGTGTAACTGCATAGGATTGCACTGTTACTGTAGTAAGAAAAACTGTTTTTGCAACTAAAAAGTAAGAGCTTTTCGAATTGCCTTTTCTAATTTATTTTGCAACTAAAAAATAGAGCTTTTCTAATTGTATTTAACAGAGAGCTACAGAAAATGAAAGCATCAGTATTCAACTGCTGACAAACTAAGAAGAAGTAATGCATAACTATGGCTAATAAAGATGAAGCAGTAAAATGTGCAATGGTTTCAGCTCCTTAGAAGCTACTAAGCAGAAAAAACTTCCAGAAAGCATCATTGTCTGGCTCCTAGCTAATAATATTTCCTTAGGCACATTAGCGTTCTGTTTAAAGTTGCTCATATTTCAGAATCTACAGACATGATGTCTTTCTCTCAATAATTACAATGCAAAATTAATTGCTTTCAGCATTGTTTCAGG